CGGGAAGCCTTGCCCGAGGGTTTTATAGGAGACTGTCGAGCCTGAGGGCAAATCGTCAAAAATAGCGGGAAAGCTGTGTAAGGGATGAAGTGTTTTAATTGTTCCTGTCATCGCGTATGCACCCTCATTAAGGGTGCGGTTAGGATCTCGCCCAGAGCCTTCTCCTGGTCCGGTTTTAGTGCCCTGCCTGACCCCCCTGTTACCCTGTTGTAAGAGCGTGTCTGGCGAGGCTGTGGAGAGACAAGCTTCGCCGAGGCTGGGTCAGTGGGAAACAGTATGTTCTGTTCCCCGTGAAGAGGTGACAGTCCCTGAGCTCTGCCACCTCTCTGAGGGGTCCCTGGGAACGGTTTGTGTCAGATTCAGCACCTCGGGAGGGTGCTGCTGGCCCAGCCTTTCTGACCCGGCGTAACGAAATGAAGGAGCAGTTTTATGTCGTTTTATTGGTGTATCGCTGGGAAAGATAGCAAGGGGAGAGGTAAACTTTATAACTCGTACACTCAGAGCAATAGAGTTGATTGCATCCCAAGATTTATGTTAGTTTTGCTTTCTTTTCCACACTTACTGAAATCAGGAATTTACGAGATTTGTGAATATGCCAAATCCTTGAAAAACATCTATTCAAAAGTCACCATTAGCTGCTCAGATTTATGGTAATGAGAAAAGTAGAACTTGCTGGATTTTAATGTCTTAAAGCATGACGTGTATTACTGTGTTATTTATTTCAGGTATGTGGGCACATTCAATGACAGTTCAAGATTACCAGGATCTCATAGATAGAGGATGGCGGAGGTAAATTTAAAAAGAAAATACAAAGTCATGTTGTCAGTTGAGCTTCAGTTTAGAATCCAGATTTAAAATTTAGGTCTGTGAAAGCAGTTAGCTAGTTTCCATAAGTAATTGAAATAGAAGTGTTTGTCCAATGCTTTGTGACTCTGTAGCGTGACACTGTTGGACAGGAAAATAATTGGTTACTTTAGGAGGATATTATTTTAGTATAGCAGCAAAAACCTGAAGAACTTGCTTCTCGACTTTTGTTACTCTTACTGTAATATTTTGAGATTATTTTAATAAGGAATGTTGATCATCCATTCATTTTGTAATACAACTAAGAAATAAATCAATGTATATTTATTGTTATTTTTAGAAGTGGAAAATATGTCTACAAACCCATCATGAATCAAACCTGTTGTCCTCAATACACAATAAGGTAAGAAGCTCAAAGCATACTACTTTGAGTGACTTACTGCTTCAAATATGTTCAACCATTTGTGTTTACTGCTTTAAATACAGAATGCTGGAAAAGTTTTATCTGCTTGTAATGATACTTTGAACACTAAATATACGTTGTTGGGTTTGTGCACAGGCCCATCAGCAGCTCTGTGATGTTTCCCTGTAAGCAATCTGCTAAATGTGTACCCTCCCCTTTTGCTTCTGAGTTTCAGTCCAAAGCAAGAGTCCTGGGATTGCTCTCTTGCTCACTGGTTGCAGGTGAACCAGTATGTCTGTGTCACACAAACACTGCTTCACTACCCCAATAAAATAGCTCTGAATAATTGTAGATTTGCTTTTCCAGACTTAGTATCAATGCTGTATCGATAAGATGGATAAGTGAAAAACTCTGGTGTGTTAGCCTCCTAGGAGAGCTTTTTTATGCAGTGCTTGAGGTCACCTTGGTGTATTTTAGTGATTATAGTGACATATACACAAAACATGCCATACAGAATGATATTATGCAGTACAAGGTAATATAGTTTTATTAATTCAAAAGTGTTGATAAAATATTTTACCACTTAATACAGGAAAATTTAAGAAATAATTAGAAAACATATATACAGTGTAACTTTTTAAAGTGGTGCCTGAAGGTTTTTTTCTGAACTAATCTTTCACAAAAGAAATGGTCATATTTTTTTTCTTTTTAAGGTGCCAGGCTTTGCGTTTTCAGGCCTCCAAGTCTCACAAGAAAGTTCTGAAGAAAATGTTGAAATTTCTTTCCAAAGGAGATGTTTCAAAAGCAGCGAGTGAAGGTAAGGAATTCTTAGTGTTTGAAAACCAATGCTGAAATTTGAAAGGAGGATCAAGAACCTGAGTGATTGAATGGCTAACATGTTTTGATTTTTGTATGTAGACCCCTTTATAAAGGTCTAGCTAGGTTGTATCTTTACAGTTTGTTTTGAATCAAGAGCACTGTGTAGCCCAGAGACCAAACTATGCAGCTGGCATGCTCTATTGAGGAATATGCTGCTTTTTTGCATAGACCAGCCTATTTTCTTTTTCATCTCTGGGCACTTGCTTACTTTTTAGCTGGCTGCCTTAGAGAATTAGACCCTGTTTTTACCTCTTGTCATAAAAGTGGTAATCCAGAGAGGTCTAAGCAGGACAGTGGGTGGCAGAGAAAAGGAAGCGCAAGGAGGGGAGGGAGGGTTTTCCTTTCAGGTGATTGAACAGTCACACCGCATTTATCCAACACCAAAACCAGCTGTTCTCAGTTGTGGTGGAACTTGTTGTGTTGGTTCTGAATCATTATAATTTACCTCTTTTGTGTGTGTGCTGGTATTTTTGTGTCTTTGGGTTCTTTTTGTTTGTTTGAGTTATGGCATGAGATTAGTTTACTGCCCCATTTTAATGGAGAAAATAAAACTGTTCCCATAAATGAGTTGGTGGTAGTAATTCGGGGTCATGAAGGAAGCTTTCTGGTTTCAGACTATTGCAAACAGTCACTTTATCTGCTGGAAAGCTGTTGTAAAGTTGAAAGAAGTTAATTTGATATTAATGTTAATTGTGCAGAGTGTGAGCTGTGTTTATACAGAGAGAAATTAACTCATGCAGTTTCTGATTACTTACAGAAGAGCCTATGGATTCCCATGTAGAAGTTGTGGACACCTGTGATTTTGTGTACAAAAGTGAATCTCAAGTCAGTCAGTCCGAACTGACTCCATTGAGTGTGGATCACACAGAGGGAGTGGAAAATGAAGATAAGGACACAGGAGAAACAAAAGAAGAGGTGAATGAGCAGAAGATGGAATCGGGTTCTCTTCAGATGTGTGCAGATAAAGATACACCAGTCCCTGGAGGACCATCACATTCGGCTAAAGCTGTTAGTGCACCACCTAAGCCAGGTAGTCAAATTTCTGGTAGTAGTTGGAATGTTCTATCATATTTTTGCATGTTGTTGAAGATCATCTTTTTATCTTGCCTATTAATTCAATAATTGTTTCTTTTTATTCCCTATACTCTTGTCAATTTATGGAATTATAGTGTATAAATAGAGAGGTGCTGCATGTTACTTGTGTTCTTAGTTTTTTGTAAAAGTTGCATTGATTGTCATTATATTAATTTTTTTAGTTCAGTTATTGAGAATATATCTGCAGCTGATAGTTTTCTGCAAGCTATTTAGGTTGCTGTCAGACAGGTCAAGTTGATTGAATCTCATCAGACACGTTCCTGGAAAACTTGTCCATAATTTTTCAGACTGTATTTTATATTTTGATTTTTATAAAATGCAGTCAAAACTTTTATAACCCTAATACACTTTATGTAGCTCTTATTAGTTTTGCAAACTTTCAAAACCCTCTTGTTTTTTAGTCAATTTGAAACTTTGGGTTATGTAAACTTCATTTTGAAAGCAAACTAAGTGGAAATTGACAGCAGATGGCAGTCTTGGGTAAAGATCATGAGTGTAAACCTGCCATTGTTTTCAAAAAGGTGGGGTATGGTCTTCAGTTATGTTAGGAGTCACACTGGGTAAAACTTTAAACACTGGAAATGCAGATGAAGAAAGCTTGAAACGTTTGTACTCCGTTTTAGAAAACGAGGGTTTACTTTTATAGAGGAGAAATATTCGTTAGTGTGTTGCTTTCTTTCTGGAAGTTTTAAATTAAATATAAAAATGAATAATAAATGTATCAGACAGCTAATTTAATTTTTTTTTTTTTAGGGTGGGTGGTGTCCCAGGTCAAATTCAGTTTAAAATTTTCCAGATAGAAAGATGTTTAGTTTTCATCTTGGAAAATGTAGACTTATTCTGTAATACGATTGTTTAATTACATTTTTATTCCTTTATAAACAAAATTGGTCTTTGTCCTATAGGAATAATGGGCTGTTTCTGCACAGTTTCAGATAAAATGGTTTGCTTGTGTCTGTATACATGTTCATTGTTTCAAGAAGTTTTCTTGCTAACTTACAGGAGATAGTAGACATGAAACAGACCTCAGTGAAGTACTCATTCTTCGAATGTATCATGAGTATTTTAAATAAACCCTTCCTCTGACTTGTTTGCCCATGTACAGGTCACATAGTATCTGTAATTTCCTCATAATACTTGTCCTTTTCTGGTGAATAAATTTTATCTGTATGGGTGAAAAAATACTCAAAAACCTTAGTTGAGAGGTGAGAACACTCGATCATAAAATCTGGTAGTGCAATTGTAGGATGTCTGAAGAGTTACAAAATGGTATTAGCTCCTTTTCTAAGTCCCTGAGATGCTCTCAACATTTCAGCTGTCATGTAGTCTATGTGGAGAAACCAGACTGGGACTTTTCTGGGCGAGCCAGAAAGAGCTCACTGCTAACTTGCCCCAGGAGTGTACTTACAAACTTCATAAATTCTGTATGGTGTGCACATTAAAAAAGAAAAAATTATAGCCTTACTGATACTTGACAGTTTATCTCAATATAAAGTATTTCGCAAGTTTCTGTGGTGTATCTATTGGTAAAGAAAGTTGCAGGCAGCAACTCCGAGGGCTGCAGTTCTTTGCAGGTGAAGTGACTCTAAGCACATCAGTGAGTTTCAAAATATTAATGCTCTCATGATTTCCAGTTTTCAGAAGGATACCCCTGTTCCCATTGTCCATGGGAAGGTGTGAAGCAGGTAGAGAACAAGAAAGATGTTGATTTTGGCTAAGAAGTTATTGGTAAGGAGGAGGAAGAGGAAAGCAAGCTCTAAGTGCGTTTTCGTGGGAGTTCTGGAAAAAACAATTTCTATGTCAGTTTCGGGCCCTCAAAAGAGTGAAGTGGGATAAGCCGTAGTTAAGTCTGGGTTTGGAATCATAAACAGTAGCAGAGTTGGAAACATGTCTTCTTCCTAATGCTTCAAGTGAAAGCACATCACTGTTCAGGGTACTTTTGTATTTGAAAAGGTAAGTCTTTCAAAAGTTGCCAGTGTGTCTTTCACAAATACATGGATTTCAGGAGAAGGCTAATGGTGTAAAAGACTTCAGCAGTTTGTCGTAATATTTGCTACAGCTTTGGTTCTGTGCAAGATATATGACTGTATTTCCCTGTATAGGAGTATTTTTTCCACTCTTCCTCTCTTTTTGAAGTTTTTAATATTATAGCTCTTTTTGGCCTCCAACTCATCTCCTACTGCCCTAAAAAGGACTAAAAAATGCAGAATTAGAGTCACTTTGTATTACATTACCTGGCTGGTGATGCAGTTTTCAGTGCAGCTTTCCCTCTGTATGGAACTTGCAACAGGAGCTGCTAAGCTGAGACTGTTATTCCTTGAAAATTAATTATTTTAAATAAGTAACATTTCACAAATAGAAAGTTATGAATGATTGATGTGTGAAAGATAGAGGTAAATTGATAAAAGTGAATAGATGAGTAGAAACATACAATCTGAGTATAACTTAAGGCAATGATGTAAGCTTACGTGGCCTTTTCTTTTACATGGTGTCAGTGGTGTTGGTGATATTTCTATGTACTGCATAAGGACCTTGGACAACAAAAAAAACCCCACTTTTTTTGGTGTGTCTGTCTTTTACAGGAGTCTGTTGTGCAGCCACCTGGGTTTCTAATGCAGTAGAACTGTTCTCTATGAATTTTGCTGTGAGGTTTTGTAGTTTTGGTGGGTTTTTTTCCCTTCAGTGTTTCAAGCTGATCCTGTAGCTGTCTGGATATAGTACATCATCATACCGCAGATTAAACAGGAGCTTTTCTTTCTTTCTGAGACAGGGATGTGGTGTAATGATTTATGAACAGATTTTTTTTTTTTTTTTTCAGACAGGAAGTCTTTTCATTGTAATTTTTAAATATAACCTTGGCTTAGGGGTGCATCAAGGTGTTTCCATATTGAAGTGCTGCATTAGAGCTGTAGAGGAAAAATCATTGCAGCTTAGCTTGGCATCAGGTGTTCTTGGTGGTTGTAAACATGAAAGACCATGACATCTTCAGGCTGCAGTCTGCAATTAATGGTGATTTTAACCATTTCTTTTCAGTGATTACGTGAGAACTACTTGTTGCAAAATGTGGTGTTTAATTCTTTGCCTGTGCCCTTGCAGGGAAAGGGGCTGATCTGAGCAAGCCACCGTGTCGAAAAGCAAAGGACATACGGAAAGAAAGAAAACTGCAGAAACTCCTTCAAAGCCAGACATGCGCATTTGAAGGCTCTCAACTTCAAGCAGGAAGTCAAGTTCTTCTCTCACAAAACTCTAAATCTAAAACAAACCAACCTAAAACAATTGAAGACTTTGTTTTTGCCTCTTTACCTGATGATGCACCACACAAATTAGAGGTAAAGTCTCATTCACTTTTGTTAGAGTTTAATTAAGGAAAAAACTGGTTACAAAATTTTTGAAATGCTTAGATGTTTTAGTATCTGTGACTTTATGGATTGGTTATAATTTAAATCTTGGAATATATGTGATGCTGCATGAGATACAGTGCAGCTGATCTCTGTGTAACCACAAGAGGGTACTCTTGACTTGCAGACAGTCATAGCAGAGACGAGTATGGTTACCAAAATAACTTGTAAATTGATTTCATACAGTGTGACTTGAAAATGAAAGGCTTTGTATTAACTGAGTGTTGAATGATGAGAAAGATTCAATATTTAGTTCTGCAGTATATAAATACTTAAACTATCCATGCTAATGAATCTTGACAAGAAAGCAGTAACTGTTCATAAAATTAAACAGATAAGAAGATTGCTGCTCTTTATAAATGTCATTGATACGTGTTGATGTCTCTGGAAGTTGTAAAAGTGATGGCAGAAAATTTTGGCTAATATACTGGTTGCCATTAAATCCATTCATAATATGGAGACAATAATCTGGAAGACTTTTTGACTTTCTAACCCATAAAACATTTTTTTCTTTTCCTTTTTTCTTTTTTTTTCTTTTTTTTTTTTTTTTTTCTGGAAGGTGGAAAGCTATCTTAGTATAAGTATTTTCCAGGAATTACTATTATCAATGATGGTATTGGAAGTTAAGTTTTTAATATTCTTTTGGTAATTTTTCAAAGGAGTAGTGATGATGGCATGAAAGTTTCACCTGGAACAACTGACAAGAAGCCATGAAATTGATCCATCCACTAACTCATCAGATTTTCTGATGAGTTCTATAACAGAAGTATGATGGCTTTGTCTGAACATCTTCATTTAGAAGATGCAGGGAGAATTAAACGGAGGGTGATTCCAGCAGTGTTTTCCCAGATTGTTTCTACTCCTTACTATGGCTGTCAGGTGTGGTGTTTTGTTAGTTTGGTTTTTTTTGTAGATCAGAACCAGTGCTATTTGTGAAAATAGAATGATACTGATACAGTATTTTTTGAAAAGAGCATGTCCTTAAATGTGCTTGACAAGAAAGACACTGTTTCTCATGTGATAGCATTGTTTTGGTTAGGGAGCAATCATTTTTACCAAGAAGAATTTTTAATTTGTAGATTTTTTTTAAAATAATTGTTTTATTTTTGTGTGTGTAAGGTTGATGATGGGGAAGACATCACTTCCTATTCCAGTTAACTTGTAATTGAATATGGAAACATTGTTTTGTCTTCCTCTATCAATTTAAAAAATATCAAGAAATCCCCTTGGGAGTGTTGCAAAAAACCCATAGTTTTATCTAAGGACAAGAGGCGTGAGCCTTCCAAATGCAGGGGTCCTTCAAGTGTTTTTCAGTATAGTATGAAACTGCAAGAGAGGATTTTAAAAAGTACAGAAAATCTATTTAAAATGTCAATCTGCATACCATTTGTTGGTATTATTTCCTGAAAACTATTTGTGTAGGCATTTTAGTTATCTTAATTTGCAGTTCGAAAACTTTGTATGTTATTCTGTGTAAATACAGAAGCCTTCAGTAGCCTAAATTGAGCTGAAGAATTGGAAGACTGTTGTCTAATACTGTTAAATTGTTAGGGCCCTTGTGCAGGAATTCAAAATTTCTCTCTGTTGTGACGTTTGTATATGTATAAATATATAGTTACTGCATGATGTTGTACTAATAAATGTTTAACTTCTTCTGAAGGTGAGGGTGGTGAGATCATCTCCACCAAGTTCACAGTTCAAAGCCACATTTCAGGAGTCTTACCGGGTCTATAAACGTTACCAGATGGTTATTCACAAGGACCCACCTGATAAACCAACTATAAATCAGGTCAGAAGGCCAAATGAATTTTATGCAAAGCTCAGCTTCCCCTCCATTTCATGTACTGTGTTTCTAGGAGAAACAAATGTGGATTTTGTATCCATTGTAGACTCGGGAGCATGTAAAATACTGTATCAGATAAAATCAGCGTCCTGAAAGTGCAAACTCTTTTGATATCTCTTTGTGAGTGCCACAAATATTCTTTATTTCAGGCAGAAAAGTTAAGGAAGTTACATGGGGATGCTACTCAGAGAGGATGAGACTTTTAGAGATAGTTATTGTGGGCCTTATAAATATAAATCTCATGAGAGCTAAAACCAGCTGGACACTTACCCTGATAACAGGTCTCGTTGGCTTTGGTTTGAATGCTTCCATAAGGAGGAACAAACATGATCAGGGCCAACATATGAGTGAAGAATTTATCACACATACAAATTTTGTTTTAAGGTTCACTGAAGTTTTATAAACCTCTTAATTTTCAATTTAAGCCCTTTGAGAAGTAGTCAGTGCACTCCATCTAGATTACATGTTACTGCTTCTTGTAATGATCAGGTGGTGTGTAATAGTTAACTGTTGGAGTTATTACCTCTCTAAGTACCATAAAGAAAAAAAATCAGGCGTTAGGAAGAAGAGTTTATATAGCAAGAATTTGTAATTGCTAAACTGGGGCGATGAGTTGATGTGCCATTAAAAATAATGCATTTTAAAAGTCCTTGAGACTTTACAATGAAAATAAAATTTGTGGTTGATTTGTTAGATAACTTGGTCAAAAAATAGGCTGAATAAACTGCTGCTTTGAAGTGTTCTAATGTTACGCAGTTTTTATTCGTTAATGAAAGTATCAACAGTCAGTTTAAATTTAGCGTTAGTTTTTGGACTTTCCCCTCTAGGAGGATTTTCTTGTTACTATGTTTAAAGCAGAAAACTGAGTTCAGAGGCTTTGAATTGGATAGGAGGAGATCTTTCACTAGCCTTACCTTCAGAAGCATGTTATCTGATTATAGGCACTCAAACTAGTATGCTTGTATTTTCCTTGCGCTGAAGGTGAGGTTAGTACCTGTCTCCTTTGAGGACCCCCAGTTCAAATCATCCTTCAACCAGTCAGCCACTTTATTTGCCAAGTATCAGATGGCTATACACAAGGATACACCTTCTGACTGTGGCGAAAATGAGGTACAGTTCACTGCATGCACCTTTATGAAAACATCTTTTTTAAATGCACAGTTAAATGATGGGAAATGATGTGTCTCAGAGTGATTCTGAATATTAAGATACTGGAGTTTCCATTTGGGAGGGAAAGCATTGTGGTTTTTAGCAAGCTTCTGTTGTAGGCTTCAGCCCAGGGGAAACTGAACTGAAGAGACAGGGATTATGCACCATCATATATAAAAAAACTAATGTTAGTAATGAGTTAAGTAGAGCTGCTATTTGTACATGGATTATAAAGAGTTCTGGGACTGAGATTTTGACTGGAAATGGGATAATGGCATGGAGGTGCTTTTTTGATAGCAAAAGCATCTCCTACTTGAAAGCTGTTTGGTACCTTTTCCTTAATTTTTTGTTGTCTCACTTAATTTGACACGTGGAGGTTTAAAAATCTCAGTTTTATTCACATTTCATTGCGAAGCATACCTCTCAGGTAGAACTCACCTTTGCAGTAGAAACAGTGCAAAAATATTCCCACCAGCTGATTGAGATTCAGTGAGAGTACATTGTATATGAATAAAGCCTGCTTTTAAAATGGTGTTTGCAGGGTGCTCATCAACAACTAAAACAAAAACGTCCTCTAAACAAGCAGCAATTTTCCATTTCTTTGGCAGGGGGCACAACACTTTCATTAGGAAAATTAATAAAACTGCTGCCTCAGATTGGTCATATCTATCTACTGCATATTTAAGGCTTCAGTATTGATCAACTATCTAGTCAGACTTCTCTGTTCTTGAGAGCAATGCATGTGGAAGTGGTACCTAGCAAGCTGTGGCTGCTTTCCAGGTAGAATAATAAAACCACATAAGCATTTTTGGCTTTTGTTCAAGAAAATGTAAGGAGAGCCTTTTTTTGTGAGATCTCTGTAATGCTACTGTGGAAAGCCATAAGATTTATTTCACTTCATTTTGTGAAATAATAGAACTCCTAACAATAAGTAGTAGTTTTTGCCCTTTTTATAATTGCTGACATAAATTGGGTTAATTATAATAAGGTAAAAATTAGAAACATGCCAAGAAACATTGAGCTATTTACTAGATTTGTACCAGGCATTACCTGGCCTGATTAGGGACTTGATTGCTGCAGAGATTGCTAAGAACTTCATATACTTATTTATTCTTTGTTTAAAATTCTGGATTTTTTCCATACAGTCATTACATCGGGAAGAATCAAGAGCAAAATCACAATGGCTGCTTGCAGTTAAGTTCTGTGTAGCGGTTAGCTCTCAGTTCATCTAACCTCTGTTTGGATCAGAGTCCATGGTTTGGTGTAGGCTTGGGTTTGATGACCTTAATCACCACCTTTTTAAGTGGGAGCCTAGGGGAGGAAAGCTTATAACAATGCACTGAGGACAGTTCTGGTTTCCACCACCTTAAGGTGTAAAGTCTATTCAACAGCAGTTCCCATAAAAGGAAGGAAATGTGTTCCTGTTTGTACTGCTTATAACTTAGTGGATTTTTATCCTCCTCTTTTTCCTTGTTACTTGCCATAGGTTACTTGCCCAACTCTGCCTTTATTTTTTCTCTCTTGCATCATGTTTGTTCAGGCTTAGTGTAATATTCCAGAGGAGACATAGGATCTTCTCTGAAGCTTCTAGTAAATGTAAAAACTCAGTCTGATGGTGATGGCTTTTAAATTAGGTCCTTCTTTACGAAATTATCTTGTGTATTCATGTGACTGTCTGGCTAAGAAGGTCTTTCTGTTCTGTTTTAGGCACTAACGCTCTGCCACTTCAATCCAAAGCATCTTGTATTTGATCCCTGCAGGAAGTAAACTGACAAATACTTTACACAAAATGTATTTTAATGTAGAAGTTGGTTTTTTTTTTTCCTCCTAAATGCTGAATTTGTGTGGGAGGAGAATTGTCCAAGTCACTTCTAAGAACAGAAGATATCAAGTGGGGTAAACCAGACCCACGTTATTGAGAGGAAGGGTGGAAAATGCTATTTGAAAGACCTCAAACTTTTTCTTATTCCTCTTTTTCAGGCTTATTAATATATCATACAGACATTATGGAGCCAAGCAGTTCTTTAAGTAAAGTCAGAATGAAGTTCTGTTGTATACACAGGGCTCTTTATCAGGGTAGTAACAAGTCTGCTTTGGGCTTTAAAGTGGCAAACATCAGGAATTTTTTTGCACCTAAAAATGAAATCTAGTTTTTAATCTATGCAAGCTAATGTATCTGTGCATGGTAGGTGAACCTCCTTGTCAGGGAGAGTCCTGCACACTTTTGTATTTGGAAAGTTACTAGTTTAAGAAAAGGTTTTGGTTTTATATTTTGCTGAAGACTTCATATTTGGAAACCTGCTTATATTTAAATTCAGAATCCAACAAAAATTGTTATGGGAGATATTAACAACTTCTTTTTGGAATATATTCTTAGATTATATATATTATATATATACTGTTTGCCTATATTAGGTGCTAGCCTAGTTTAATATTAACCTTATTACATTAAAAGGCAATTTTAAGAAAAGATTTAGAATTTTGATGATTATTTTAAAATAACACTACTGTGGAAAGTTATAAAACAGTTCACAGTATTAGCAAAAGGTATGTGAACCATGAAGCCGATTATTGCTCAATGAGTGTGAAAGAAGGCCCTCTTTTTGCAGCTGTCCAATGGCTACACATCTTTTCATCAAGATTTTATGTGAGAAAGGGAAATAGATAATTTCCAGGACAGGAAATATGTTGAATACTTGGCACCAAAGATTACTTTGAACTTCTGGACATTCTCTGGTTAGTCCCACTTTGAGACCAGTGCCCTTCAGGTTGGTGGGTGTTTTTCAGTTTTGCGTTTTCCTTCTTTCTCCTCTCCTTCTGCATCAGTGATGAAGACTGCTGTGCACTATGTCGTGGTTTAACCCCCCAGCTGGCAGTAAGCCCCACTCAGCTGCTCACCCACTCCCCCACAGTGGGATGGGGGAGAGAATCGGAAGGGTAAAAATGAGAAAACTCGTGGGTTGAGGAGAAAACGAGTTAAAAAAGGAAAGGAAAAGCTGCACATGCAAGCAAGGCAAAACAGGGAATTAATTCACTAATTCCCATCAGCAGGCAGGTGTTCATCCAACTCCAGGACAGCAGGGTTCCATCGGGCATAACTGTTACTTGTCAAGACAAATGCCGTCACTCTGAATGTCCCCCTCTTCCTCCTTCCCCCAGCTTTAGATGCTGAGCATGACATCTTGTGGTATGGAATATCCCTTGGGGTCAGCTGTCCCAGCTGTGTCCCCTCCCAGCTCCTTGTGCACTCCCAGCCTCTTCACTGGTGGGGTGGGGCCAGCACTGCTCAGCAGTAGCTGAAACATCCCTGGGTTATTAACATGGTTTCCAGCACAAATCCAAACCAAAATGAACTCTATCCCAGCCAAAACCGGCACACGGTGATAATACCATGTGTTCATTAACAAGGATTTAGTTTGAGATTTTAATGGGCAGAGTCCTGTGATGGATTTTGGAGTCTCAGTACTGATTCCTGACCGGTGCAGTGACTTCTGTTTGTAGAAGGTAGAAATTTCACAGCGGAATAAACTTTGTCCAAGTCCCAGGGTTGGTGTTGCCCCGTGGTGATGAAATGTGCCTTTTCTGTGGAAGCATCATCACAGTCTTCAGTGTTGCTCTCATTGGCGAGCAGAGAATGTGGTAAAGTAGAAGTGCATTTGCTGTCTGCCAAATAAGTTAATACTCTAGGAAGAGTTTTGAGTATCACGTTGCTCCTGCAATAAAAAAAAAAATTAGCTTGTGTGTGAATTTTTTTCAAATCTGTTTTTATCTTGACTTAAAAGCTTACAATTATTTTT